CGGCGTAGGATCGACCTGTAGAATTGTTTGATGGAGATTGCATCATCACGGGTTGCAGATCCACGTAATTAGTCAAGCCCACTTGTTATATTAGACATCAAGCATTGCATAGATTGTTTCACAAGATTTCTGCGTGCATTTCGCCTACTGCAGTGAGGATGTTTGATTGCATGTAAACACTGATGCCGCCAGAGGCAATCAAGACATCTTAAGCCTTGAACACCGTCGAGAGTCTCCACTTCTGAGATTTGCAGAGTGTGTTGATTTCTTGATGCGTGGGATTAGTTTTGAGCGTTCATCTAGCTGTGATGTCGGACATTTGAACCGTCAACACAGTATGCACACATGTATTATTTGTTCTATTGTGAAATAAAGTGATCTCAGTCTTGCATTCGAGGCCGTGCTAAAGAGCATTTCTGTATTTTCTTTCATTTCACATAAATGCAGAATGCATGCAGGGGTTGAATGATGATGAAAACATCGCTTCCCCTGTAGACCATTCCGACTCACTGTAAGCTTGGGATCGACATCACAAGTGGTAGTGATCTGATTGCAGAAATCTTTATACATTCATGAGGTATCATTCTTTGCAACAATCTAATTACAATGACAACCGCAAGTAGCATCAAATACATGCGCAATGGTCAGCACAATAAGCTTCATATTGGTTTCTTCGTTGTGCCTGCATAGCAGAGATACATCAAAAAGTTGCAAATAAACCTAATTATGCACAATGTATGATTGTAGCTCCAGTAAGCCACATTGATTGCTGTAGGATTCTTATCCTGTGGTTGAAACAGACTTTCCATGTCGCCGCAGCTACGTGGAGCATGTTGATCCTTGAGCATTTTGAATGCATGCTCAAGCAGAAATAATGTGAAGATGTTGCTTTTGAGGATCTGAACTGCAAATACTTAAATATTTCTAGCATATTTGCAAGATTGGAGTGCATGAAAGCACCTCATTTGCAAACTGATGGCGCAGCATTGTAAACCATACTTCCTCTCTGAATTCTCGTACATACGGCTCTCATGCTTGAAACAATGAATAAGAGAGCAGAAAAGGTGTATTCATCTTTTGCAATGTATTCTAAAGCCATCTTCATTCCTAGACAGCTTTCTCTGTCATGCAGTCATGTAAGAGAAGCGGAATTCAAAACTTTCTTTCAAAGTCAGAGACTAAGAAAAGGTCTTAGTCTATCTACATGGATACATTAGACGATTAAATTCTCATCCACATTCAAGCAGCAATAGATTCGAAGCCTCTCACCATGATGACTTGTCGTTGCATGCGGGTGAAGGATCAATCAGCCATCTCTTGCTTGCCCAGGGAGGGGGGATTTGGGGAAAGGAGAGTGGAGATAGCACCCTACCCCCTATTTCCCAATTTCAAACTCTTGAATCAAAGGGTAGATTTGTATTCTTTGCTAGCTACCCACCCCACCTTTCGTAAAGGTGATGAAGGGGAACCGGGGGTATTGGCGTGGTGAGCTCCAACGGCAATCGAAATGCCTTCTTTTCCATTAGCACCCCCACGTACCGTGATACAGTGAAATGCACGGGTATGAGAGAATCTTTCGGTCCTCTACCCCTCCAGACAAAGGAAGTCACTAGGGTGGAGGCTGATTCGAGACGCCTGTCGAAACCACTTTAAAAGACTAGTACAGACTGTACCAGAGGCACTTCATCCGTACATAGATGTGTACGATTGAAGCGCTGACTAAACAATTAAAATGAAGTGCTTCAAAAAGTAAGGCGGGGGACAGGGTACCACGCCAGTATAATTCAAATCACCCCACCCTACTTTATCCCTGTCTCACTACCCCCCATTAAGAGAGCAAAACCCGGGGTAGCTGAATGGAAGTGTATATATGAACCCCTTCCCAAGGAGAAAAAAAAGACCAATTTTGCTAGAGCCTGCATATGGCCTTGTGAACGGCATGTATCACTGAGAAGTTGTTGGAATGGCTGTTTTCCCACGTTGCTCACACTCACAGCTGGTGTATTCTTCCGAATCAACATGTTCATTCGCACAAAGATGATGGCACATCAGGCTTGCATCTTGAGCATTGATACAATCGAATTCTTTCATCACTGTGCACCTTGCATGGACAGCTTGAAACAAGGTCTGAGGCGGGTCCCTTATTAATGCAGGGCAGAAGAAAAGAGGAGCCGAGCAGTTACGGCACAGTAAATTGTAATACGAGGACAGCATTTACATATATTTATGGCCCTCCGCGAAGCGGCGCCTACATGCTTTGGACGGGAAAGATCAGGAGCGACGAGAAGCAAGAGGGAGGAAGCAAGAGGGAGGAAGCAAGAGGGAGCAAGCAAGAGGGAGCAAGCAAGAGGGAGCAAGCAAGAGGGAGCAAGGGTATGGAGGAGGAGGAGGGAGAAGGAAAGAAGTTTAGCAATTGGTGCGAGAAATTGATGAGGAGAAAGCAAGTGATGAGTAGACGAGGGAAGTGCTGAACAGAGCAGGATGCCCAATTGTTCAAAGTTGCCAATGAACGATCAAGATTGTCTTTCGTAGATAACGAGTGCACGTTTGATTTGATTTCATTACCGTTGTGTGACAAGGTATGAACTACAAAGACAGAGATAGCCTAGTACGAGAGCAATGAACCCTACTACATGACTCGATACCTGACTGCATGCGATTCAGACAATCAGACAAGTCAAGAAGTCATCTGAAATGGTCTTTTGATTCCTTCCGACACTGGACCAGGAGCATGAAGTGCCACCAAGGAAAGCTCATGTCAAGCTCCGTGGGTGCTCGTCCCATTGCCTTCGCAGCTCTCGCCCTCTGCACAGTCCTCGCAGGGACATGGAGAGGATCGTGGCGGCAGACCAACAGACAAGGACCGACCTCTTCTGTGCTCGAGACTCTTGATCATCCTGAGCCCCTCGAACCTGTCTCAAACTGCGTCTTCGATCCCACTCTTGGGACCACTCACTGTCACAGCGGTCGCCTTTACTTCAATGGCTGCACAACCCCAGGATGCACTTCGGTGACGGGCGTGCAGCAGCAGGAGTACTCGCAGGAGTACAGCGGGAAGCAGATGTACACGAGACAGCAGGCGAAGACGCTCGGAGTGGATCCGAGTGAGGGACGAGACGGGCAGATCTATGACACGGTTACATTGGGAGAAATGTTCCACCATCCCCAGGCAGCCGAGGAGCGATATGATGATCCTTCCAGTGCTGTCCTCTACTTCCCGACGCACTTTGACCCAAGAACGGCTCCACCCGAGGAAGTGAAGCGAGCAGGCGGCATAGGCAACCTGGAAGAGAACGTTGCTGCCTTAGCAGAAGCCCTGTCGTCCAACACGATCAGCTTGCAGCGGCTGCTGGACAAGCAGAGGTACATGAAGCAGGACTGGAAGAGCGTCACAGTCCGAGCTAAGGGATTGCATGCTGTGCGGGGACCTCGAGGACCTCCGGGGTTGATGGGTCTGCCTGGACCGGTGAAGACACTCGCTGCATCGTCCTCATATGACTCTTATGCAGGCTGGGGAGAGAGGAGTCCCAGGAACCATGGGCCCTCCCGGCTTCCCAGGTCTCCCGGGCGAGAACGTCGAGGGACCTCCTGGACCTCCTGGTGCTGAGGATGAAGAAACGGAGGAAGAACCTAAAGAGGAAGAACAAGTTGATAGCGAAGAGACTGAGGGGACGGAAGCAAAGGGACCCGCTAGGATCCAGCTACATCGACAGTATGTCATGGGGAAAGAGCATGTGCATGCGATTCAGGTATGTCCTTTTTGTTGTGACTCATTGGATGACGCTGGGCTAGTCGCAAGCAAAGCGCAGTGTTGAGTCTACAGCACAAAAACTTCGTGATCTACAGGATGACATCGACAGGATCTCAGCAAGAAACTCTGTGAGTCGCAATATCATCAACTGGTCAACTTGTGACTGATGCCATTGGTCAGGTCCTCAACCATTTCACAAAGCACATTCTCAAGACCATCAAACCAGCTGTACGCGCACCTCATCCTCCTCCTTCGCCCCATGAGGACTCGACCACGGACTCTCCATTGGCCAGGGGCGTCCAGTACATCCTGCAGTACATTCCGTTCGGACAACCCGTGCCTCATGGCGCCATTCCTGCGAGTGCTGTGCACTGAACCTCTCGTTTGTCTCTCTGTTTCACTTTTTAAAAAATCTCATTATTTGATGAATTAGCCGTGATCCTCTCACACAGATTAAGAAAGCACATATTGATCTGATCAGTTCACGGCATTGTGGAACATTCCTCCCCAATCTCATCAAGTTTGCAACACACACCGTGGAACCTCCCTAACTAGAATAGGAATAGAGTCGAACAATTCGGATCAGGGTTTAATTGCGACAAATTTACCTACATGAACGACTGTAGGGGTTGTTGTCACAGGGAAGGAGAAAATTGAGGTGGAAATAGAGCTAGATGACTGAAAACTTAGATCTTGCACATGATTTCGTTCCAGGCACACGATGGTGATTTTGCCCACTTGCCCTGGCAAAGTCATTATCAATGTGGCCAAGCAAATGCACAACTGCTAAAGTTTGAAATATTCGACTCCACTGCTATTTTCTAACTTCCCTATTCTGTCTTGTACACAGCTCAGAATCACTTGTTCTGTAAATCGTGCAGTTCTCCTTGCTGTTCCGCCGCTTGACTCCTCTCTATTCCTTCCATTCCCTCTTTCTCACTCCCGCCTTCCTGCTCCGTTCTCTCACCTGGTATGTTGTCACGTCGCTCTTCGAGTCTTTCTTGATCTCCATGAGAAACTTCTTTGCGCTTGCCGTAAGCGCCATTTCACTTCTCCACAACCACCTCTACCACCCCTACCTTCTTCCACACCCTACCTCCTCTGGTTCTAACCCATTCGGGAATAACAATACGTTTCATATATCAAAGGGACCTGTGGTAGATGTACCCTCACCCCCCTTTCAGTACCCCTGCGCCTCGCAAGTGACCCTTCAAACAGATGACCTTCGTCTTCATCACCCTCACTCACTACTGATACCCTCATCTCCTCTCAGTCCCCATTTGTCGGTATGAGGGGTTTGTGACCAGCACCCCATGACTTGCTAGGGAAACAAGGGGGTAGGGTTATATAAACTTGAATTTGGTTGGGGTGGTAGAAGCTGGGAGGGTCATCGATTCCAGGCCCTTGGAGAAATAGGTGGGTACTTCATGGATAATGGGTGGGTAAGGGTTGTCTGAACGAGATGCTCAACAAGGTAGGGTAGGGGTGGGGGTAGGGGTTGAAGGACAGGTTGGCAGGAGCACGAACATGGCCAGGGGAGGACATGCAAGAGAGCGGAGGAAAGATGCGAAGATAGGGAGTAAGCGAGAGAGCAAGAATGTGTCATACGCAGTGAAAAAGAATATGAAAGATTTTCTGCTTCAGCATAAAGACCGAAAGTTTTGCATGATATACACGAACCTGATCTTCTCGTCTGCAGTTTTCTTCGTAGAAATTTTGTAAATCTTTGTGCATTGTTTAGATGAAGGGGAAGGTGACAGATGTTGATTGAAGATATTATATCAAATTCGTGTAGTGTACCTTGATAGCAAGTTGTGTTCAATCATCTCGCGTCGCATAGAATTTGACGATTTGTGCTCTCCCAGATTTCACGATGAAGGTCATCGTGAAAACGATGGCTGGATTGCAGACTGAAATGGAGTTTGAACCCACTAACACTCTCGCCGATTTGAAGGTCTTGACGAGTTTGAGTATCATTCTGGCTGACCTGTGAATCTCTTCAGACAAAGATCGAGGGTCAGATGTCATCGCTCGGAGGCCCAGTGAACAAGGTATGGCAGGGAGATCTTTCTTGCATTCGAGGAGATGAAAGTTGTTGTGGTAGATCATCCACATGGGTCGAGTGCTAGAGGATGGAAAGCCAATCAGTGAGTATGGTGTAGCTGACGGCAATGTACGCTTGGCCTTGCTTGGTTTCTCAGAATTCATTTACATGTCCAGACATTCGTGATCATGGTTAGCAAGAAGAAACCTGCACAAGAGCCACAACCCTCCTCTGAACCAGCCCCATCTGCTGCTCCGAAACCCTCGACACCAGCGACTGAGGTGAGCTTCAGGACTTGTTCTGCAGGATGTCATCGCTGCATACCAGGCCCCCCCTGCTGCCCCTGCGGTTCAGCCCTCACAACCAGCTCCGCCGTCCACTCCTGCGCAATCTGCTCCATCGACTGCCCCGGCTTCGACTACATCCTATGATGCTTCAGCCTCCGCGTTGCTAACTGGCGAAAGGTTCCTTCTCCAGAGTCCTGAGGAATCACTGACTTTGACCAGTTTGGAGGCAACTGTGATGCAGATTATGGAGATGGGCTTTGAGAGAGAGCAGGTGTGCAATGATGATGTGGTTACAATCGGCTGAAAGGTGATGAAGGTTATGAAAGCACTGAGAGCAGCCTTCAACAATCCCGATAGAGCGGTCGAATACCTTATGACGGGCATCCCAGAGGGAGCAGACACTGCTGCTCCTCCCCAGGGCGGTGGTCAAGGTGGAGGTCAAGGCGCTGGGGGGAGTGGAAGTGGTGGAGGAGTCTCGATCGACCCTGAAGTTCTGTCATCACTACAATCGCAGATGCAACAGGTGTTTCGAAATTCAGAGTAGCTGGTTCAAACTCCTGACGTTGATCACCAACCTAGCATTCAGAAAGCGGGGGAACTGGTGGACCCTTGGACTTCCTTAGAAGCGATCCTCAATTTGCTATGTTGCGTGGCATCATTCAAGTGAGCCTTCTTGTTTCATAATCTTCCACCTGACAGGACGTACAGGCAAGACCGCAATTCCTTCAACCCTTGCTCGAACAGATCGGACAGCAGCACCCTGAGGTATTGCGGGCAATCCAAGAGAATCAGGTGTGGAGCTTTTTCCTCAACTGTGCGATCACGATTGTTGACTTGCTTTCAAGGATGAGTTTGTGAGGCTGATCAATGAGCCTGTTGATCAGACGCAGTTCAGCCAGGCCATGCAGGCATTGGTATTTAACATCGCTCTCGTTTTCTTCTACTTGGCTGACAAATGATGCAGGAAGGCCGAGGCGAAGACGAAGAGGGAGCAGTACAGATCCAGTTAACTCAGGAGGAGGGTGAGGCACTTGCCCGCCTTGAGGCCTTGGGCTTCAATCGGCAGGTAATACCCAACATGGTTGACAGTGCCGTTGATGATTTGAGATCAGCTTGCTCTGGAGGCTTATCTGGCATGTGACAAGAACGAGGAAATGGCTGCGAACTATCTGTTTGAGAACGGCATGGATGAAGGAGGTAACCAGATCTGATGACTTCGCACTTACAACTCACAACTTTGGCATAGGCGATGGACCATGAAGCTTTGACTTTGATTGTAGAGTCTGGTACATGCGAATGAATAAAGTGTGGGAGTCTCGTGCACTATGGTGCAAGACATGACGAGCTGAGACTGAGATTGACTGGTATTAAAAGCAATATCTCAGTTTCAGTTCGCTCACTGTGCGTTTTCTAGCTTAGATCGTGCGGGTCTCTAGTGGTAGGGTTTCCAATGAGATGCTCTGCACGATGGTTGAAAGAAGCCAATCTGCTAACCGCCCGGAGCAGCTTGTAGTAGGACAAGGAGAAGACTGCAAGGAGCAGAGAAGAACTCACTCGGCGAGCAGCGTCGACTCGGAGCATCTCCCCGAGGTTCCTCCCGAGCAGGAGGAAGAAGGAGCGGAGTGACCGACTGAGATGTTTGAACTGCCTGGGGGTCAGCGATGAGGTGACAACTTGCAGCTACCTTGAGGAGAGCGACAACTATCAGAGCGACAGCAACGACGGCCGAGGACTTAACAAGATGCGTCAGGACTGCATTGGAAAGAGCGTTCACATTATGTACCTTCTTCATAGTGAGTTGGAAGTTTCGAGGGGTTGAAGCGACTTCAGCTCTGCTGGAGAGTTTCTCCTCCTCCTTCTCCTCATCCTCGGCCATTTCCCCTTGTGCCTTGTCGAAATCAAGTAGCCTCCTCACGCTACCGTGGTGTTCTTCTAGCATGGTGTATCGCCTCTCAGCTTCCGCAAGTCTTCGCCTCAACGAGTCAACTTCTGAGCTCAGCACACAAACGTATCGTGAGGAGCGAGCAACTTCATCACTCCCTGGCAAGCTCTTTTCAGCATGCGACTGCCTGTCTGACCCCTCTTGACAAGCAATGTGCTTGATCACTGGGATTCTAACAGCTGGACTTTCCTGGATCTTCAATCGATTGCTTTGAGCCTCTTCGTACTTCTGCAGGAGCGACTGCGTTCATGGTCAGTTGCTGCTGCATGGCAACATGCGGCAAACCTGAAGTCTGATGTCCTCTTCATCGTCTCTTCGCGAATAGAATGTGCTAGCAAGTGACTGGCGTACAGGAGGTCGGTTCTCTTGATCGTCGCAGGCATATGAGCCACATGATTGCGTTCTCCCATTTTTGACTCGGGAGAAAACTCGATTCAAGGTGTTCTCACTGGGTTGAGAGATCTCGGTGGCTTCACAGGCTCGGCTCCTTGCCTGCCTGTTCATGCCAACTCGAGTGGGGGAGTTTGTGATTTGTTCCAGGACTCTACCTGGAGGAAAGTAGTTAATCATACACTGTGGTGCTTCTTCCATCCTGCTGTGATCTTGGGTCCATACCATGTTCTCACCTCTCATCACCTCGTGCCTTTCCTTCCTGTCTCGTCCCTCCCTCGCTCCCTCGCTCCCTCGCTCCCTCGCTCCCTCCCCCGCTCCCTCCCCCTCCATGTTCGAATATTTACCGGCCATTTCGTATATATGAGCGTTACGAACCGTTATATAGAGAGTATGATTTTAACTTAACTTTGAGTAAAAGGATGGACTGGTCTGACAGCGAGCGTGGTTACAGGGATGCAGTACTGGTTTTTGTCATGGCGAGAGTAGGCGCAAAGCGAAGTGAAGGATGGAAGACGGAAGAGGGGAAGACGAGGAGGACGAGGAGGACGAGGATGACGAGGAGGACGAGGAGGACGAGGATGACGAGGAGGAAGAGGAGGACGAGGGGGAAGAGGAGGACGAGGGGGACGAGGAGGACGAGGGGGACGAGGAGGACGAGGGGGACGAGGAGGACGAGGAAGGACAAGCGGGAAAGGAGGGGAAGGGGGTTGAGGCAGGGTGGAACGAGGGGGACGGAAGGCTGTGACAAGGAGGGAAACGAGTGTGAGAAGAAATAGACAACACACACAGACGGTGTAGCAGGCAAACATCAACAGAGTAAAAGGAGGGGGGAGGGG